TGAAAACATTGGTGAATGCCACAAATTCTCCTAAATCACTCGTACGCACAACTTAAGAACAAATCTGTTTGTACGAATGGTTCTTTCATGAGGCCCAATGTCCTGTTGAAAAATAAATGATGGTCTAACTAAACACAAACCGGATGGAACAGCATGCCGCTGTAAGATGCTGTGGTAGCCGTGCTGATTGAGGATGCCTTCAGTTTTGATTAAATCTCCAACAGTGTCACCAGCAAAGCACCCCCACATCATYACACCTCCTACATGCTTCACAGTGGGAACCAGTCATGTAGAGTCCATCCGTTCACCTTTTCTGCATCACACACAGACATGGTGGTTAGAACCAAAGATCTCAAATTTGGTCTCATCAGACCAAAGCACAGAGTTCCACTGATCTAATGTCCATTCTTTGTGTTCTTTAGCCCAAACATGTCTCTTCTGCTTGTTGCCTGTCCTTACCAGTGGTTTCACACAGTTTCCTCTTAACAGTTGTTCTAGAGATGTGTCTGCTGCTAGAACTCTATGGCATTGACCTGTTCTCTAATCTGAGCTGCTGTTAACCTGACCTGTTCTCTAATCTGAGCTGCTGTTAACCTGTCATTTCTGAGGCTGGTGACTCGGATGAACTTATCGTCTGCAGCAGAGGTGACCCTTGGTCTTCCTTTCCTGGGGCGGTCCTCATGTGAGCCAGTTTCTTTGTAATGCTTGATGGTTTTTGCAACTGCACTTGGGGACACTTTCAGAGTTTCCCAATTTTTCATAGTTTCAATTTAATTCATAGTTTTGATGCCTTCAGCGTGAATCTGCAATTTTCATAGTCATGAAATTAAAGAAAACTCTTTGAATGAGAAGAGTGTGACCAAACTTTTGGTCTGTACTGTATATAAATAAGTAAAATTTACTCATAAAAATGAGGCTGCGATTTTTCAAAATGAACAATTCCTGTTTTTCTCACAGTTTAGAGTTTCTGACTTGTCGCCAGCAGTGTGAACCCAGTGGGATGTGGGCTTACGAAGCGACGCATGACTTAATGTGAAATAATATAGTTGAAAGCGGTGCACTAATCACTGGATCTTCTAGAACTGCTTCAGATATTGTCACATTGTCTGCTGCAGATGTGGTTTGATTAACAGCTGCTTCTTCTTGCAGCGACTCGATGTCGCAGAATATTCCTGCCTTGTTCAGGCTGCCTTCAGACAGCAGATACGCCCGATACGATGGTTTGTGTCTCTCTAACAAGACATAGCTTCATGATTTTACCAAAACCRTTCTGACTAATGCTAATTGAGCTAGGTTTTTGTTTATTTAACAACAGTGGTTCATAGTGATGTGTGGGGAGAACCCAGACCGCGCTCAGAGTCCCAGCTGAGCAGGAGTTTCCCGACAGGAGGTAGGTGAAGTTTACGTTCTTCTTGTTTGACCAATAAGTTGAAGACCTTTGCGTTAAAYTGCATCTTTATGTTGCAGCTCCTCCTCCACTTCCTCCTAAAAACATCCCATCAAGAAGTCAGTATGGCTACCCTTTAGACTCTGCAGGTAAACACAAACGGACTCAGTTGAACAGGTAAAGTCAAACACAGCTGTGGTTTCACAGCTCCTTCCTGTTTGCAGCAGATCTACCGAACGGGAGGGCGGCTCGTAGCTCCGCCCCCATCTACCTGAACGTCCTCTCCCCGGCTTCGTACCGAGGCTCCCCGGCCCCCGACCTTGACGACGTGTTTGGCCCCTCGGACAGCCCCCGAGTCGGCGAGGACACCTCGTCTCCCAGATGGGTCACCTTCGTGGACGATAGACCTCCGCCGCCCGATGAGCCGGCCCCCCCACCACCACCAGACTCCCCTCCTCCTGACACCCCCTCATCAACCCCCTCCACCCCTTGTTTCTCTCCCGGACCGCCTCCAAATGAACCCCCGCCTTCTCCTCCACAGTTTTCCCCCATGTCTCCTCCCMCTTTCACACCGCTGGACTCACCCCCCTCCATTGTGCTGGGACCTCCACCTCCAGACGAGCCAGCGCCTCCCTTGCCCCCGAACTTTTCCCCCTCCGATTGTCCCACGATGAGCCCTGAGGAGGAGGGGATCGACGAGGAGGTGCTGCAGTTTGCAGAATACGCTTCCTTCGCTGCCCCCATCAGCCCTGTGCCCCCGCTGCCAGCAGAGCGAAGGTCCCCTCGGGTGGGAGTCACATCCCCCCTAGTCCACGGGGGCATCGGGGGAAAGAGGACTCCAGAGGGGGGGTACCACAGAGAGGATTCAGCMGAGTTTTCAGGCTCCCCTCGAGAGCTGACTCCCAGCTTCAGGGGGACGCCGCCCCCTCTTCCTCCGACCACGTACAGGTCCATCATGTCTTCCTCAGGACCCCACTCAGGCAGCAGTGAGTATCACGRTCTAGTCTGATACAGTTTTTATGTTCGTTTACATTTAGAGCATAATTTAATTTAAAATGTTTGTTACTGCTCTGCAGAATCCTTTAAACTGGAGAGCAGAGGGACTAAAATGCAGAAAGAAATGGAGACTGAGAGCTTCTTGTGCAAAACTCACAATATATTTTTTATCAAAAAATTATTTCTCTTCTCGTACAAATATCTTTCCCCTGATGATAAATAGGAGTTCAAACAAMATGCTGAAAACCCCGTGCTGCTAAGTGATAACTAATTTAAAATATAGAGAAAAAAACATTTTTAGCCCAGATAAAATTCCTTCTAAAACAATTATAGTTTGTTTTTTCCCCAACTTAGTTTATTTACTATCTACAATGTTGGAGTTATAAACTTCTTCRTCAAAAAGATCAGAATAAAATGAGACTGATGTAGACAGTCCTGTAAAACCAGCTGTGTTGTTGTTTTTTGTTGTTTTATGAGCACAAAGTAAGACAAAACATTTTCCACTGGCCTATTCATGCCCAGCTTGGCTTGATTCGTACCAACCTTTGTCMATTTTGTACCTGCTTTTTTCTTCTTTGTACTCACAGTTTTCATGATTGATTGATTGATTGATGTCTATAGTGCTTAACAACAACCAATTAGGGTAACTAACGCAGTTTGCAGTAAAAAAAAATCACATCACAAGATAAAGAAAACGACAACAAAAATAAGAGAAAATGCCAGTATCAAAAGAAATAGGTCTTGAGCTTAGACTTAAAGATGCCCGGGTCAGAGGTGGAGTGAGAGGGAGTTTGTTCCAGAGTCGGGGTCCTGCCACTGAAAAGGCCCGGTCACCTCAATGCTTTAGCCTTGTCCTGGGGATATCCAGTAAAAGTTGACTTGATGACCTCAGGGATCTCAGCTAAATATGACGGGACACTGCCATGAAGAGCTTTAAAAACAAACAATACATTTTTAAAATCAATTCTAAAACAGACAGGAAGACCATGTAAAGTGGATAAAACAAGGGTGATGCTCACATCAAGAGGCATTGGTTAAAAGATGGGCAGCTGCGTTCTGGACAAGTTGAAGTTGTCTTAGGGAAGACTGAGGGATGCTGATATCAAGCCCATTACAATTAATACATTACATACATACATTCAAGTCTAGAACTAACAAATGCATGAATGGCCTTCTCTAAGACAGTGCACTGTAAAAAAAGATTTAACTTTGGTCAGTAGATGGTAAAAGTTAGATTTGACAACAGAGTCAAATTGTTTATTAATTTTAAGCTCCTGATCAAATATTACCTCTAGGTTTCTGACACTTGACTTTGGCAGGGCGCTGACATCTGTAGTGGCAAAATCGCCGAATAAAATACATTCAGTCTTTTTATGATTTAAATACAAAAGGTTTTTACTTAGCCACTGTGTAACAGCTGTTAAGCAGTCCAAAAAATAGACAACCGCATTAGTCATGTCTGGTTTAAGAGACAAGAAGATTTGTAAGTCATCTGCAGAACAGTGGACTTTGTGTGCAGATATAACTTCTCCTAGTGGCAACATATAAAAGGAAAAGAGAAGGGGACCAAGGATGGAGCCTTGTGGCACCCCACACAAAAGGAGGAGGATAAATTATTGATCATGACAGAGAATGTTCTATCTATCTGATGGGAAGTAAGCCACTTCAGGGCAGTGCCACAGATACCAACAAAGTGTTTTAAACGAGTCAGAAGGACAGAATGGTCCCCCGTGTCAAAGGCTGCTGTAAGATCTAGTAGAACCAGAGCGACAGGACGCTTACTGTCAACAGACATGGCAATGTCATGTATTTTTTACAAGGTGGTCTAGGTAATGTGTCTCAATCTGAAACCCGATTGGAATTTTTTTTAAATACCATTTGATTCTAAAAATGTTTGTATAAAAATTATTTTTTCAATTATAATTATTCAGACTGTTAGGACTGATAAAACATGTAACTGGATATTTTCTGAATAAACTTGAATCACATAACAGAAGAAATCTGAAAAAAAGCCTTAAGCTCCTAAATTAAAATGACAAAAATCTGTATAAGCATGTGCTTTCTCTGTCTTTCATACAAGCAGCATCAGCTTCACAACTGTCTTATACATACAGATGAATAGTTTTACTGTAGTCATCATCTGAAAACGTCTGGCTTCTCTTCATGTGATGGAAATGGTTTACAGCACATATTGGGCCTCATGCAAGAACCGTTCGTACGCACAGATTTGTTCTTAAATTGTGCGTACGAGTGATTTAGGAG